CCCCGGAGAGGGGCCTCTTGGCACCTGTAAGTGGGCCAGTGCTGGGAGGGAGGAGAGGGACCCTCTCTGTTTGCAACACAGGGTTACTGGGTTACACCTCGCCCTCCCCATGCACCCTTGACCCCAACCCAGCTCGTCCCTCCCACCTGTGCTCATAGGATGCATCCTAAAGGTGCTTTGCTGGGGAGACCTCAGAGCACTTTACAGACATTGGTCGGATAGGAACCTCCCGGCCCCAGGGGAGAGGAAGGAGGCAAAGGGTTCAGGATTTGGCCAGAGCAGGTGACAAGCCCCAGGGGCCTAGACCAGTCCAGAGTCCCTGCGGACCCCAGGAAAGACCTCCTCTCAGCTCCTGGTCCCAGTGGCTCCTCTTCCCCCGGTCACCACTTCGGAGAGGGAAGACTGCTGGGGGCCAGTCTGGGGATGGGGCTGAAGCAGTGCAAGCCTGGGGTAAACAGGGTGCCCCCCACCCCCAGGCCCTAGAAAGGTACCACACCCTGAAGAAGCCCACTCCCCTCCCCATGCATAGCGCTCTGAAAACCCCCATCTCTCTGTCCTATTCCAGCCCTCCGAGGGAAGGAAAAGGGGGACCCAGACCTGCCAGCTAAGATCTGGGGTAGGGGGCTGAGGAAACCCCCAAAATGTATTGCTTAGAAACTTGGAGGCAAAAAGGATAGGGGAGGGCCCAGGGGGCTGGCATCTCTGACCCTCCCCCCAGGCCCTGGGAAGCCTCCAGGAAGCTCTCGTCCAGCCAGTCATCTGGCCACGGGGAGAGTCCAGAGGTGGGGGGATGGACACAGTGACCACTGGGAGCCTGAAGTTCCCCAGTCTTGCTGACGGGAGATTAAAGCACGCCCCAGTGGGTGTCGGGTGGGGAGGGGCCCTTCCCTCAACCCCACAGTCTCTGGCATTTGTCCTTCGGGTGGGCTGTCTGTTCCGTGACCGCCATGCTCCCTTGGAACAGATGGGGGAGCCTGTCCCGATGGATGGTGCTGATGACGTTGAACACTCTGGACTCAGTGAGGACCTGGGGGAAGAGGGAGACGCCTCAGTGTTCTGATCTCCACCTTCATCTCCAGCCTGACTTACCTTCCCCATGACCCACTGGATCCCCACTCAGTCTCACATCTAGTTGTGCAAAAAGTGCCCTGCAGAATGTGCTCAGCGAGGATGTGAGTGGGGCCTGGAATGGAAGTCATGCCCAGCTGACCTCCCAGAGCCTCGCGCCCTGGCTGCTTCCTCTCCCGGACCCGCACAAAGGAGCCACACAGGCCTCACCCCAGTCTGAGGAGCTACCGCCTCTCTCCCCGCAGAGGCTGGGACAGAAGAGGCGGGAGGACTTCCCTGCCTCCCACTCACACCCTGGCTCAGTTCTATGTGTTTATCCTGCCTGGAAAGAGAGAGGGAGAACCTCACATCCACTGAACCACAGAGACGACCCTTCAAAGATGTCTGTTGGACACCCAGCCCTCCCTCCTCCTTGCGGAACCTCAGGCCCCTCCCTGTCCACCACCACGAGCTCACCTGGGCCAGCCGCAGGCTAGTCCAGATTCCGTTCTGGTTGTGTTCATCTTCGGCAGGGGAGGCCGGGGCCTCTTCCTCACAGGGGGACAGCTCATCAATGGACATCTGGTTGGTGATGCCTGCGGAGGGACATGAAGGAAGTTGGGACCAGACCAAGCAGTGTTTTTCCCCCAAACCCAAGGAATATGTGGAGAAAAATAAGGGGTTCTCACCCATCCCCCTTCTTCAAGCTAAGCTCCATTCAACCCAGGCGCACTTGGAGACAGCCTCTCCAGCCTTGCTGAAATTCACGCCCCTCAACTCGCACATTAGGAAAGATGTGTCTCAGCCAGGGCCACCAGGCTACCCGCATGCACAGGGCACCACTTAGAGACCGCAGTGTGCACCAGGTCCCTCTAGCTGTGGGCTCTGGCTCTCCCCCTCCTCTCTCCAGTCCCTCTTCTAGAACAGTCCAGGCCAGTCAGTCCATCCTTCCCATGATCTAATGCAGCCTGATCAGTTCTTTCCCAACTCTGGGGAGGAATCTGACAAAGGTTTGCTCATGGGGCTTAAGGAAAATGGACCTGCTGCTGCTCCATTAGCCATCCTGCCCACAAGGCCTCAACCTCCCACAGGACCCACCGCTTGCTGCCCGTTCCTTCCATTTCTGCTTGTTCTCCTGAATGTATTTGGTCCAGGTAGAGCGGAAGCTGACCACGTCAGGGTTGGGGTCTCCCACTTCCACATCCAGAGAAGGCTGACGCCACTGGAAACTAGAAGCAGGACCCCCCACATGGCAGAGATGAGACCCTGCCTCCTCCAGGACGGCCTCCACAGCCCTCAGAGCGGGAGGGATGGAGGACCGGGAGCCTCAGGGAGACCTGTCCCCTCTTCCTTCTGCTAGGCGGCCCCCGGCCCCCAGCCCTCTCCACACCTTCCCTCCTACTAGAAGGAAAATAAAAGCAGATTCACAGAAAGACAGAGCTAATGGAAGAAAGCAAATCTAGCAGAGGGAACACGGGCAGGCCACACCCCCTGCCCCCAGCCTCCTGCCCCCACGTGTGACCCGCGGCAGAGGAGCTCCCTGGTTGGGAGTCACCTGCCTCTCCACACCCCTGCCAGGCCTGAGCCTCCTCCCCGGGAGTCGGTCCTCTCTGGGGTCTCCTGGCTACCCCGGCCACCCTCACCTGGGCTGGTTTTTAGACTTGGAGTCCTCATCCCCCATGGGCTGGACACTCTTCTCAGCCACGTCCGTCAGGACAGAGAACGTGGGCTCCACGATGAAGTCGATGAAACCTGCAGGGCAGGGGGACACGACGTGTGCCTTGGAGGGCCGGGCTATGGCGGGCGCGGCTGTGGCCCCCGACTGCATGTAAAACAGGGGCACCTGGGGCTGAGAAGTTCCCCAGGGGGGCAGCCTTTGGGACGATGTCTTTGTGACCCAGTCAACTCCTCCCCATCATTGTCCACCATTGCCCACCCTGGCGCTCCACCCCAGGACCCCATGCTCCAACACAGGAGGCTCACCTTGACTGGAATTATGGTTCTGAGGGATGGGGACAAGGAGCAGTCCTGATGCAGGCCCAGAAGGCACCCTCCCCCCTTCCCCACCCTCTCCTCCCTGCCAGAAGGGACACTCACCAATCTGGGACTGCGCCACGAGCGTGGAGGTTCGGTCACAGAGCGGAGAAAATGGCAGGCCCAGCTCCGCTTCCTTGTCACCCTGCGGGAGCAGACAAGGCAGGAAAGCACCTCAGTCTACCAGCCTGGGGTGCAGCTGGGGCAGTAGGGGCTGTTGGGGGAGAAGAGGGATCTCTGTGCCTTTGACCTAAAAATGGGTGGCATGCCAACGGAATGCCTCTGTTGGCAATGACTGTTAGGTTTTGCAGAGATACATTTGATCCCACAGGTTCGGGATCAGGTCGGCAGCTGCAGGCAGCTGAATGGAGAGCTGGAGTAGGAACAGGGAACTCGGAGAACAAAGGGGAGAGTCCCCGTGGGCAGGGCGGGCAAAGCTGCCCCAGACCTGGCGGAAGAATTCCTCCATGAGGGCCTTGGTCCAGCGGCTGTGAACCGCCCACTTCTTGGTTGGGTGGCTGATGTCAGCGGTGTGGAGCAGCAGGGACAGGGCCTTGGACTTGTCAATCCTGTCGGGGCAGGTGACAAGGGAAGGGAGACTGATCTTTTAGGAAAGGGAAGCCC